AATAAACAGTATTAAATAACATTTACCGGCCTGAATGTCCGAGAAATTTTCATAGAAAATATTCGTCCTTTGTGGCCGAGCCGGTTAAGGCGCGTCAGCGTAAATGACGGTTCCGTATAGGATGCAGGTTCGAATCCTGTCAAAGGACGAATATTTTCTATGAAAATTTCTCGGACATTCAGGCCGGTAAATGTTATTTAATACTGTTTATTATAAACAGCATTTACTTAAATACTTGTATCAATAAAAAGAATGTTAAACATAAAAATGTCTTTAATAAAGTAAATAATGTAAATGCTAAGTGCGATACTGAGTAAAATAAAGCCGTGTTTGAATGTAACGTTCATCTGAACACGCTAACAATGTTGGCTAAATTTCCATTCGCGATTCATCTGTCACTAAGAAATGTATCATACTGTTATCTCCTCTTAAGATTGAAAAGTGTATTATTTTCCTCTTAACTTTGAAAAGTGCATTATAACAAATTTAGTATGTATTGGAAATAAGAAAATTATGGTTGCGCAAGGGGTACTTTTAGCCAACATCTTAAGATACTGCAAAGCCAAAATATGAAACTGAAAACTCGAGTTATATTCTTAAATAGCCATGTCAGAACTAGAATTTGACGGACAATATAGGGTTATTCTTAAAGATTTGCCATGCTGCAGCAATAAAGAGCTCTAAGTTAATCTGTGAAGGCAAGATGGACAAAAGAAAGCAGCGAATAATCTACCTAATGATCTTGTGTAAATGGTTGGCAGAACAGAGATTAGGAGAGATAATCAAAAGACAATCTTACTAAAAGCTACAAAAGATTATTGTGAATAAATTCTAAATCCGTAGTATTTGTCACTCAGTTGTAACACCGTTTCTCATGAAAAATTATTCTTGATCATCAATGTAAAACTCCGAAATAAAAATACTGAAACATCTTTAGAATCAATCAGGTTAGAAGTTTGAAAGGCTCCGCAGAAAAGATTGGGAATTTAAAAGCGATTGATGCTGAGTCATGACAGCAATTCCTTAAAGATTACGTGAACAAAACGATGACAATAAAGATGCTTGTCTTCGTCAATATCATTTGGGGGATTCTAATCCTTGAAGTTGTATAAGGACAAGGCCTTGAAAGAAAGAAAGAAAGAAAGAAAGAAAGAAAGAAAGAAAGAAAAGACAGCGGACTCGAGATCTATACCCATCATGATTGTCACACTTGAGAGAGAACAGAACCTTGATGTCGAAAGAATTCTAAATGTAAGAATAGCCCTTCATATCAGCCTTACTAAAATCAGTAAGAATACTCACTCGGGAGCTGCATTATGGAGAAGACCGGCGGTTACTTGATCCCTTGTAAAAAACAAACAGATCCTACCTTTATGCAAAACTCATATAATACTATCAATCATGAATAGGGAGGAATGTACAGCAGTCATATGAATACTTGCTGTCACTTGATCGCTGGGGAACGTCCGCATTTTCTTTTTCTTTTCTTTTTTAATATCATATCTCTTCAGAACGTATGTGATCGTGAATCTCTACAGATTCCTTATTTTTATAATCTGTAAATTATCAAATTTAAGAAAGTAAGCTAGTTGTCTTATCTACGGTTTTGAATTCAGAATATGCCTTCTCATACACTGGCTGCGACCTCAGGTTCGAGAGCTAAATCTACCCAACAATTCACCCAATAGTTGAAACTGGAGGAGACCGATTAATATCTTTTTCTAAGGCTATTAGTTCGCCAAATGAACACGGTAGAATTTTACTAGACTTTTGTTTTAAATGCCATTTTCTTTTAGGAAGTAGACGTTCATGACTCTCCACAGATTTCTTTTTTTCATTTTCTTTGAATTGCCATAACTTCTTGGGAAAGATAGTGGAGTGACTTTCCATTGCCTACTCTAAAATTTCTAATTCGGGCGCTTCAAGGTGGTGTAATGGTTAGCAAGCTTGCCTCGCTAAAACAATTACGAGTGAGTTCGATCCTCACTGGGTGCCCCATACTTTCGGCCTTGTGCTACGCTTGTAAAATCACTAAAATTTCTAATTCAAAATGATGCTACCCTTAGAGTTGCTGTTATTCAAAACTAGAGAAAGCAGTCTAAACTATTATTTAACCCATAGCTAGAGGCAGAAAAGTGGATACATGCCTTTCCTAGGATTATAGTCTGCAGGTGACTGTAACAGGCTAGGTCGAAATTGAACCTGGTCTACCGCTTCTAGTTTCTAAGAAGAGATGGGACGTAGAACTGAAAGAGTACATGTGATAATGATAATAACCTCGTGATCAAACACCGTATAAACAGAATGTACTTTTTTATTGACATGAGTGTCCCTGCAGATTGTAATGTATCTTTAAAGATCTTCAAAGAACTATCAAATGCAAGGATCTTGAAATGGAAATCTCAAAAATGTGGCACATGAGGACATCAATAATTCCAGTTGTAGTTTGATCCCACGGATTTATTGAAAAAGGGTCCGATAGACTCATTGAAGGGATTTCTGGTAGCCCATGCCTTAAAGAAATACAAAAACTTTACTCGCAAGTACAGCTCACACATTAGGAAGTGCTTCATCTATGTAAAATGCGTGTGATCTTATGTTTTATTTTTACAAAGAATGATCACTGGAAAATGTGATGGAGCCATTTCTGACCTTAGTCTTTGTTTGGGACTCGGAAGGAAACGTGTATACAACAGAAACCCAAGGAAATATAATCATAATGCTACTACTGCGACTACTTTAAAAAGAAAGAAAAAGAAAAAAGAAGTAACGAAAGAAAAGCAAACGATGAAGGTGGGAATGCAACAAGAAAGAAATTTGAATAAATAATCAAGAAATCAGAAGCGTAAAGAAAGCCTTAGCTGAGTCAGAAACGAGACACTTCGCAGTGGTGCGCAAGCTTCTGTATCAAGCCTATTATTAATGCATAAATAATTTAGATTTCACTGGGTTGCCTCACACTCTTGTCCTGTTGCGTGTTTCACACTGCATCTTCGATGTTCGTGCTCTCAGTAAAGCAAGCCGTTCTAGGCAAACTAGACCTAAAATGGAGCCATGTTTTATATTTGGGCGGGAACTGCACAGTCCTCACTCTCCAATTTAGATAAAGCGCAAAAGCGTCCTTGTGGGCGACAAATTATTTCTCACCCTCCAATCTCTCTCCAACAGGCGGGGTGTGGCAAGACTCTCACTGCCCCACCGCTGCTTTAATGGAAAGTGTTCGGACGAACTAAATTCCTTGGTTCCACCAGTTCCAACTTTCACATCAAAGACTCGCCATGTCACTCACGTTGTAGTAAATCATCCATATTCTCTCAGTGTTACCTCGAACAGCTTCTTCCCGCGGACCACTGATCTGTTGATCCAGCTCTCACGATGACGTTTCCCCGATCACTACGGTCTTAATCTATTCAAGTCTAGGGTTAACCGTTATCTTCTTCGCATATCCACATAAACTTCCTCTACTTCGCGTTGCCATCGGGCCATGTACAGAGTGAACCTTACAGTAAGAAAAAACAAAAACAAAAACGACTCCTCCTACTTTCAAGTATGGTAGCACACGATTTAATTTCTCACGTTTCTAGTCGCTATTATTCTCCTCCTTGCCTTCAATATGTCTTGTGATTGCCAAATCTTCCAAGCCACCTTATTATGTGTCCCAGAAATTTCAACTGTCTCTTTATGATGCGACGTAAAAGTGTCCTTTTTACTTTCATTTTCTCTAAAACTTCGTCGTTACTCACATGTCTAGTCCATAGTATTCTCAGCATCCTTCTGTAGAACTAGATTTCTGCTGCCTGAAGTCTCTTCTCCGTCTGCGAAGAGATGGTCCAGTATGCAATGTCGTATAAGAGTACCGACATTACATAAAAGTTCAGTACTCTTTTCTTTGTTTCCAATTAAATTCATCCATTTCTTAATATTTTGCTTACATTTTGAAAAGCATCTTTCGCTGTCGAAACGCGCCTCCGGATTCCTGTGTTATCAAATGTCGAACAATAAGTAGAATTGACATGGAAAAAATAAGCGACTTATCAAACAAGGAGAAAAGGGCAAATATTTGTCGAGGGAAAAACATAGCAGTGCACCGACACACACCGACACACATACATACAAACGAACAAACGAACACAAACATACAAAATTAAAATGAACAAGAATATTGTGGTAGGAATGTCGGGGATTGATGGCTAAAAGAATATCCTTAATCTTGAAAACCGGCTTTTTAGAGATTCGTTTTCAGTGACAGCTGCCTGGACTGTTCGGCCGAGAAAGCAAACGATTCGCCAGATCATGAATCAATTTGTCGACCCCAATGGCTCCGTGGAGATGAAGACGTCAGAATAAAACTGGACGTGCCAGTTGTCGAGAAATCCGAAAGGAATCGGCAACAAGAAACAAGAAGAGAATTAAAATAAAATATCAAATATAATTATTTTAAAAAATAAGTATTAAAAAAAACTAAACTTGGCAAATATCAAAGAATATTTTATTTTCTCTATTTTTCACCATAAATCTTATTAGTGTTCGTATCTATTAGCATTAGTACTATTATTCTTGTTATTATCATTTCGTTGGTTATTTTTGTTGCTGCTTTCTTTGAAAATAATATTTTGGTGCGACCCTTTTTTGAAGGGGAAGTTCAGCTTTTGTGAATAATAGCCGGACTTATTTTGGCTCACAAAAAAGACTTGTATCTAATATTTTAAAATTCTATTTTCTTTCGTCTTTTCTTAAACCTCTGAATTTCTTCCCCATTGTCTTTTTTAATTTTTTTTTTTTTTTCATTCATTTTTCTTTTTTCATTAATGTTTTTCACTTTTTACTTTTTTGCTATCAATCATCCATTATTAAATTTCCTTTCATTTTCTTTTTTCTCTTTTCCATTGAGAATTTAATGAACATTTTTCATTAAACTCTTTCTTTTAATTCTCCTTTTATTGTTTTTGATTAAAAAATATTTCTTTTTATTTCGGGTACTTTTCCTAATATTTATGCATATGCTTTTCATTCTTTACTCCATTTTTAAAAATTTTTTCCTTTCTTTCTTTTTTTTTACAATTCTTTCTTTCTTTCTATTCCATGCTTGTTTTCTTTCAGACATTTTCATTCTTTACTCCATTTTTGTTTGTCTTTCTTTCTTTCTCACTTTCGTTCTTTCTCTTACTTTCTTTATGCTTATTTTCTTTCACACGTTTTTCTTCTTTGCTCCAATTTTCTTTCATTTTACTTTCTTTGTTTGTTTTGTTTTTTCCATACTAGTTTTTTTTTACACGTTTTCCGTCTCTACTCCATTTTTCTTCTTTCTTTCTTTTTTCTTTCTTTCTTTCTATTTCAAACATGTTTTCTTTCACACGCTCACCTTCTTTACTCCATTTTTCATTCCTTGTCTTCCTTTTCTTTCTATGTCATACTTGTTTTCTTTCACACATTTTCCTTCTTTACTCAGTTTTCTTTCTTGCTTTCTTCATTTCTTTCCTTCTCACTTTCGTTCTTTATATTTCATATTTTTTCTTTCACACGTTTTCCTTCTTTGCTCCATTCTTTCTTTCTTTCTTTCTTTCTTTCTTTCTTTCTTTCTTTCTTTCTTTCTTTTATGACCCCCATTCATTTATCTATCTTATTAACTTTTCCTCCCTTCTTTCCGTTCCTTCATTTTATAATTCCTTCTTTCTTTCATCTTTTATTCTATTCAAATATCTCCTTGCTTCCTTTTTTCTTTTTTCCGTCTCTGAACAATTCTTCTCTCTCGAGTGAATCTCCTTGAGGACTCAGGCACAAAAGCCCTTCGATTGAAAAAAGATATTAGAAAAGCTATAATCGATTCGGGAAAACAAGTTTGTCCTTTGGGTTATAAATCGATTTTTACGAGGTAAGTAACTGGAAGACGATACGTCAGTTGTATGTGATCAGTGATCCGGGTCTATGGGGTGACCACATTATACACAAATTCAATTTGATACATATGTATGCAGACTGTTAAGTGTGTGTTTTTCTACGTGCACAGAGATTTAGATAAAAAGCTACTAAAATCAATATAGATATGAACTTCGATAGATAGATAGATAGATAGAGAGATAGATATGAACAGACTGAAATAGATAGATAAATATGAATAGACTGGGATAGACAGATAGATAGATAGATAGATAGATAGATATGAATAGACTGGGATAGATAGATAGATAGATAGATAGATAGATATGAATAGACTGGGATAGATAGATAGATAGATAGATAGATAGATAGATAGATAGATAGATATGAACAGAGATAGATATGAACAGACTGAAATAGATAGATAGATAGATAGATAGATAGATAGATATGAACAGAGATAGATAGATATGAACAGACTGAAATAGATAGATAGATAGATAGATTTAAGTAAATAGCAGACGAAAAAAATTGGTAATGGCGATAGAGACGAGAAAACTGCTACGAAAGAATCAATATATAATAATAATAATAACTCCACGTCTGTAAATCAGTAACAGAAAGAAGGTCAAAAGGTTCGACGGCCAGAAAGTTGTCATCAAAACAACAACGATGAATGAATCAGTTCTTAATGAATCAATGTATAATATTTAGCAATACCTCGTCTCAGTCAATATGTATCTATCATTTACTGATTTTAACCTGTAGTCATGTTTGACTTTCCTTTGAAATTTATTTTCTTTGTCTAAGTGCAGGTTTGTTTGTTCATACACGTGCACTTACGTTTTTGTCTCTCAAGAATGGCAGGGATAAAAAGATTAGCTAGATTAAGAGTTAAGCTTTCTTCACAGCGACTGCATGCTGTGCCTCTGTTTTACTAACTCAGTCTCAAAACCACATCGAGAATACTTTCCTTTCATTGTTTTTCAGCACCTTGTTCCACTAAGAAACGCATATCGAGTCTATTTTTAATTTACCAACCTAAGCTATCATAACTATCTACGACCCACTATCAAAGCTTCTACAACATTCTCACCAATGTCATCTAGCTTCCTTGTACCACTTCTATAAATATTTTTATAGCAATTGTTCTAAAGAACGTCCCTCTTTGGTAACTCGACTACATGTATTCAAGCACAGTACTACATAGGGATTGAAAAGTATTTCCCTATTTTATATATGAGTGGCCAGCGAATACAAGAAGTTTTGTCTTCCATGCCACAAGAGTTCCTGGCGAAATCAGTTGACGCAATTCCTGGAGAGCTGGTCGCGAATATTTTACGAATATTCGGGCCGATAATGTAGATAAATAAATATACTGTTTAATAGATAAATGAAAACAGAGCATCTACTCAAATATGAGTATCCATTTAAAAAATAACGTTTAAACAAATATATATATATATATATATATATATATATATATATATATATATATATATATATATATATTCGTGGAAAATATACATACATATGCAAAATATATAAATACCCATACATGTATATTTTCAGAAAAATTTTTTTCAAGAGGAAGAATCCAGGCAGAACTCAATGTCTAGGACAGAGTAAGGATATAATAAAAAGGCTCCAATCCAATTCATCAGACCTACAAATTCAAGTTTTTTTTTGAATTTGTAGGTCTGATGATTTGGATCGTATTTACGATTCCAATGGAATAAATTATGACCATGGAATATTAGTGTTTAAGCCTTTTTTTATTATATATATATATATATATATATATATATATATACATTCAGGGTGATTGATATATATATATATATATATATATATATATATATATATATATATATATATATATTCAGGGAGATTGATTGATACTTTCATTTTATGTATGATTGGCCAGCCAGGGGTCCTGACTTAACACGCTGTGACTTTTTTTATGGTTGGTTAAAGGAGCATGTCTACTATACAAGCCAAGATTTGGAAGAAGTTATGTCTTCCATTCCACAAAGTTCCTAGTGAAACTAGTTAACGTGATTCCTGGGCGGCTCTTGAAGGTGGTAGCGAAATCTGTTGCCCATATCGAATTTTAAGTAAAGCCTCATGCTAAACACTTTCCTCACATATCCATTTCTTGTAAAAATTATAGTTAATAAATAAATTATAAGTATTTGAAAATGCGGAGTTATTTTTACCCTATAAACTGGGACTCGTCATTTTACTGTTGAAATAGCTAGATGTCAGCGTTCAAAGTTCATTTGGCCTCTGAAATCTTTAAAATTTACAGGCAACATCAACCATTATCTGTCTTCATGAATGCTATTCAGTTTTTTTATTGTTCTTACGCCTCAGAAATGTTTTCTCAATTTCCTTCAAATTAAGTAAGTACCTCCGTCTTAGAGGCTTTATCGCCTTGTTTAGAGTGAAATGATTTTTTAAAAATTTCGTTATTTTATTTAGAGTATTTATATTCGGACTGATGTTCTCTTATATATATATATATATATATATATATATATATATATATATATATATATATATATATATATTTCTTTTACTCGCACTTCACTTGTAGAACCCTTTCCGGCTTTCTTACTTTTCAGTCCACATTTATCTTCAAAAATTTAAATGCAATAGCAATCGTTATCTTCTGTCTTCTGAATTTTCTGTTCTTTTATTGTTCTCTCTCCTTAATAGTGTTATTCCTTCATATTCTCTAATACGTGGTAACCCCCACCCTTGCACCTTGGTGGCTTTATTGCCTTGCTTGGTGGCAAATGTTTTTAAAAACTTCAGTCAGTAACAGTCTTTCTAACTTAATGATTGTTATGCCAATTTTATGTTCTAGCGAACTCAGATTCAAGAAACAACAAACATACATCTTATCAAAATCTTATATCATAGCAAAACCTACAGGTGAGTCAATCTTCACACTTCAAGCAACTAAAATCTACTGCTTCTAAGTACCATATCCCTTGAGGACGAAGGCGATCATGGCTCTCTACAATTTCCTGTTCTTTTTAGGTCTTAGTAAATTTTGTCATTTTACTATCTCTCATGAACCCTGTTCTGTCAATCCATTTACACAAGCTCGTTAGTTATGATATGCGATTTTCTTTTGACCCACTTGTCTTCAGTATGTCCTGTTAGTGTCAATTTTTCCACGCTCGCTTTCTTCATTATATATTCTAGACATGTCAGCTATGTCTTTAGGATCTTACTTATTATAAAACGCAGATTGTGTGTGTGTGTGTGTGTGTGTCTGTACGTTTATATATATCGGATCGGATTTCCTACATTTTTCAACCGATTTCATCAAAACTTCACAAGACAACGTAAAATTACCTTGCGGTGATTCTGACAGCGCCAAGAATTGGAAAAACACAATTGTTTTTGCACGAAATTAATTTGAAAACACGATTAAGAGGCATCACGAGAATGAAAGGGGGACAACTCATATCGAGTTATACTTATTATAAAACCCAGGTTGTCTGTGTGTGTTCGTTTATACATGGGATCGGATTTCCTACATTTTTCAACCGATTTCAACAAAACTTCACTTTTTGGTAATGTTTCTTATTTTCTTGCACACTTTTTTCTTTGTTTTTACATTCAGAATGCTTTAAAAATTCCATTTACAAGACAATTGTTTATAATAAAATTCTATTCAATCGGTAGACTCATAACGATTGAAAACAATGTTTTTGTTTGAGTTTGGGTTTGACCAATTTGTAAAAAAAACAAAACAAAACAAAAAAAAATAATTAAGACATGCGTGTCCATCAAACTTAAACAATAATCTTTGTCAATTTTATTTTTCAGTCTTTATGATGGTCGATACTTGATCTATCTCTTACGGTTACATCCCCGGGCAACGCCAGGCTGTATTGCTAGTGTTAGATATAAGTGTCTTTTGTTTTTTTTGCTTCCATTTTCTTTAAAACATAGTCGTTGCTCACATGTTCTGTCCATGATATTCTCAGCATCCTTCTGTAGAATCACGTTTCTGTTGCTTTATGTCTTACCTTCATCTGTGAAAAGATTGTTCAGCATTCACTATCATAATGGAGGACTGATATTACGTAACAGTTTAGTACACTTTTCTTTTTGTCGTACGAAATTTTCCTGCTTCTTAATACTTTGCTTAGCTTTTAGAAGCCATCTTTCACTGTCCCAATACGTCCTCGGATTTAGGTATCGCACTTCCCGCTTTCTGTTAAAACACTTACCGTATATTAAAATAGGTGTACTTGCTTGATTTTAGTATCTCCAATTTGCAATTTGTATATTGAACTGTTCATTTTAGGGACAGTTATTGTGTTGTGGAAATTTAAAACAATTCAGGGTAAAGATGCAACCTACGATGAAAACAAATATAAGTTTATGAACTCGCACAGATATGCAACAATATGTTGTGTCAGAAATATGCATTTCTCAATCCGAAATCCTCCATCTGGCCTTTCTTAATTTAAAAACCTTCCCGTAGAATGCAGTTACGCACCGAAACTTCCAGTTGTCACCTTCATAAGTCATCGCCATTTTTGTCAGCCTCATCTCGGTGAAATCACACCCGAAGCGAACAGAGCACTTCAAATAACAATCACTTCTATATTTAGGATTGTCTCTCGGCATAAACCAACGAAAGCAAGAGCGATCGAAATGAATAAAATAAAGACGAAACGAAGTCGCGTGTGGCTTG